GGATAAGTGGATGGATGGATGGATGGATGCAGGGTAGGTCGATAGATGGGTGGATGAATGGATGGATGAATAGATGAATGGAGGGTGGATGGATGGATGGATGACTGAAGGTGGGTAGGTGGATGGAGGGAGGGATGGATGGATGGTGGATGAATGGATGGATGGATGGATGGGTAGATGGATGGATAAAAGTAAAGCTGCAGCGGCTGTCTGTCCCATGACACCAAAGCTAGAAGGATTCTTGTAGAGCTTTAGAGGCATATCTAGAGCCAGGAAGGCCCAAAGTCGTGTTAGGATGAACCAAGTTACAGTCTTAAAAAAAGAAATCCTCTTGCTTTTTTGAATAAACAATTCACATTTTTTGCTCTTGTCACGTTCTCTCCCACTCAGACATTTTTGCAATGGGTATAACCTCATTATTTTATTATTAGTCACAAACCATGGGTAATTCACTTTTTAAAGTGATTTTTGTTGCTTGCTAAAGTGCTGCATCAGCTGCTAGTCATGCAGGAAAAAAACGGATGTGGGGCGTGAGGAGGCTTCGGTGGAGCCCCTGGGATGTGCTCCACCAAGTGTGGGTCCTTGGCTTCGAGCAGGAAAAAATTCAAGAGCGAGCCACAGTTGAGTAAAGGTAGATTTTTTCAGAGAGATACGTTGAAAGGCAGGAGAAAGGCCACGAAGTGTGAAGGTTGGGTGCTCAGATTAAAAGTAGGTACACACTCCATAGACAGAGTGTGGGCTGTCTCTGAATGAACAGAGAGAGAGTGGCCGTGAGGGGCAAGGTTGCCCATTTTTATGGGCTTTGGTAGCTTCACATGCAAATAAGTGGAAGGACCAGTCTAACTACCCTGGGAAAGGGGCTGGGATTCCCAGGAAGGTGGTGGCCATTTCCCGCTCTTTGACCATTTGTGGCTGGCCTTGGCACCTGTAGGCATGTTACTCATCATGCTAATATATTACAATTAGCATATAATGAAGCTCAAGGTCTACTAGAAGTTAAATCTCCCATCATCCTGAACCTCAAGGCCTACTGGGGTTGAATCCTACACCCTTTTGATGTTAATTGCCGTAGCATTCCTTGAATGGTGCTGCCCTGCCCCCTTCCTGTCTCACTAGTACGACTTAGCTTCCAGCCAGTGCAACAGCGACTCTGTGTGTGACCCCAGTGCAGGACCAGGGTGCTGTTGAATTCTGACTGGGTGAATCTTCCTGTGGTCCAAATGGTCCAAACACCAATCAGGGATGTGCCTACAAAAAGGCAGGATGGGGTTACCATTCTCACAGGGAAGTCACATTCTGCATTTTATATAGTACAGAATAAGTCTTATTTATTATTTAACAATGTGTAGTTTGATGGTTTCCAAAATACACTTCCTCTCTGTTCTGATATCAATGAAAGGGCAGTGTTTAGATAAGTGCTAACACCCCATCTGTGATTGATTGGTGATGTCTGCCATGTGCCCAGCATGGGGAGAGGGGTGCAGTCACCTGGTCTGCCTTATAGACCACTCCCTGTACTATATTACAGCTGGAGGCTGTCTATTCTGAGCCCAGAGGCTGCAGGAGAAAAAGCCAAGTCCCCTAGAGAGGACAGCGGGGTAACAGCAGAGCGGGGATTAGAACATCTTCTGACCCCACCTCTTCAGGAGCCTTGCAATAGGACAGACCTCAGTTCGAATCCGGCCTCTGCCACTTCTTAGCTGTGCGGTATTGGGCAAGTTACTGGAGTTTGCCCGTCTGTAGAGCGGGGATGATAATATCTAACTGGCGAAGTTGTTGTGAAGACTACACTGTTCAATGACTCTGTGCAATATTTCCTATGTTGGGGTCTGAAGAACGCATGTTCCCAGCCCCAGATCTCTGCCCCAGCCTCCATCCACCCACCCAGGAATTGTCTCTGCTTCCTGTAGACCCCACCCACTGGGGAATATCCTTTCCTTAGGCAAGGCAAGGGCAGTAGTTGATAAACACGTGGACGGCTGGGTTCTAATTTTAGCTCTGCCTCCCACTATCCATGACCATGGTCCTTCGACGCTCCAGTGTCCCGGGATGTACAATGGAGATCATAAAGGTACCAGCCACATAGGGTTTTTTAAGGATTTGAGGAGCCAGTCCAAGTAAAGTGCTTAGCAAGATTTCGAGAACTAGCAGCCATGTCTATGCCATCATTTAGTCTACAGTCAGTCTCTGGGGCAAGTAGCTCTTACTTGCAAAGGGTCATCCTGAGGACTGAAAGAGACACTGTTCTTACAAGCACCTACCAGGGAGCCTCCAACGGCGAGGGCTTACGACTGCTCTTTGCAAGGACTTTTGCTTCTTCCTGGCACCACCTCTCCTGCTTTGACCTTGGGGGCTGAACGCTCACTGCAGCCGCAGGGACGGGGGTGGGGGGCCTCGCGGCTTCAGCGCTGCCTGCCCGGACCCGTTTCCCCTGAGACCCCGCTGCTGCCTCTGTTACCGACTGATTGGTGGATTTGACTTTAGTGTTTTTCTTTAGTATTGTTTAAAAGGAGCACAACATAATCATCTGTGAACACACTTAAATCACTCGGCGGGATGCGATAAAAACATCAAACCAAAAATTATGGCTCAGAAAGCAGGCTTGGATTTCCTCTCCATCTGGATGGGCAAGGGGAAGTTTGCACTTGGAGTGGAAGGTGGGAAAATGAGGGGGAGAGCACAGCGAAGACAGGGGGACCTCACGAGGTCACCGATCCTAGAACCTGGGGCCTCTCAGAGCACCGTACCCTTAGGGCCCGGCCCCTTACAGATGGGACAGAGAAGCCCAGAGAGGCTGAGTGGCATGCTCAACGTCCCACAGGAAAACCTGCCATCGGCTAGTCCAGGACTCAGATGTGGTTGGGTGCTGAGCCCACGTCAGAGCAGAGCCCGTGGGGACCAACATGGAGGACATTCTGCTCCTGCTGGACTTGGAGAGGGCAGCCCCCCTGCCTTCATCCTCTGTGCTGGGGCTGGGAGAAAGCAGGATGGTGTAATCCATTCATTATTCATTCAATAAGTGTTAAGCTCCTACTATGTGCCAGACCCCTGTACTAGAGGCCTGAGATCCAGTGGCAGGAAGAGATATGAGTATGGCTGGAGACGGGGATGCCAATAAGACAGGCACGTAGGACCAGCCACTACATCACCTTGGATGAAGGATTTTCATAAGCACTTCCCAAACCTAAGACTCAAGAAACACACGGAAACACTACGAGAGGCTCTGCCCACCTGTTGTCTCATTTGACCCTCAGGGAAGCCCTGTGAGTCGCAGATCATGAGCTCTGTTGTGCAGACAAAGAAGCCGAGGCCCAGAGTAGTTAGGTAACTTAGCTGAGGCCACACAGCCTGGCAGCGGTCGCGCCATGTCCTTCCCACTTCCCTCCAGCTGTGCGGGCTGGGGGAGGAGGAAGAGAATGGGCCCCCGGGGGATCTGGGTGGTGGCAGGAGGGGGCTCTGGCAAACAGGAGCCCCTGGAGAGCAGGTACCCCCTTCTACTCACCTCTGTAGCCTCGGTGCCGAGCCCAGTACCTGGCAAATCGCAGGAGCTAATGAAGTGTCTGTTCAACTGAGCTGGACCTCTGGGCTGGCTGGGCTAAAAGAAGCCCTTCTGAGGCTTTGGTAACAGCCCAGACTGTACCCCGACTCCTGTTGCCTGCACCCCTAGAGGCCAGCCCCCGCTGGCTGAGCACTTCCTTGTCCATGGGAGCCTCGCTGAGCAGGCTGAACACCCCTTCTGACTACGTTCTCGGAAAACAGCTCACCAAGGAAACTTGTTCTTCCTTCACTCTCAGGCAGTTTTTCCCAGAGTGAAGGCTTCCTGCTGGCTCTGAGCCAGGGCCACTCTGGCCCCCTCTTGATCAGTTTTGCCAAACACCCAAAGGGAAGACAACACGTTCTGAGGCAAATATTCAGACCAGACCAACCATCCGCGAGCAGCCCACCCTCTTCCCACCCTTATCCTGGATTGTATTAAGTGAGACACATAGACTGAAAACTTTGAAGATTCAGGAGGCATTTAGCAGCTATCAGGCCCAGCTCCCCTGCTCTATGGGGCAGGTTAGTGGAGCTCAGAAGGGTTGCAGTTCTTGCCCAAGGAACCACGTAAACATAGGAACACCGTGTGGGTACCCAAACTCTGCACCGTAAGCCTTGGCACTCCTGAGAGATGCTTGGGGGGGTCAACGCACAGAGACTGAGCATAAACTCCAGGCTCCCCACCCCCACCTGTACCTGCAACAGCTCTCCTTTGCTTGTTTATTATTTTGCTGTTGGTGTCATATTTTGATTTGAAGGGAGGGAATGTTTTATCGCTGTTAAAAGTTTGCAAGTCACTGTACAGAGTAGGGGTTTTGGAGTCTGAAAGACCTGGAGTCAATGTAACTTGTGACCCAGGGAAATGGACATAACCTGTCTGAGCCTCAGTTTTCTCATCTGTCAAATGGGGGGGACAATACCAACCTTGCTGCTTGATGAGAAGATGAAATGAGAAAACTCAGTTAAAGGGCCAGCACAGAGTCTAACACACAGAGGGCGCCCAACACCAGGACTTGCCTTCTCCCTACGTGCCCCAGCAGTGCTCCTCGCACAGTGATACTCACTACGTTTGCTTTCTGGCACAATCACAGAGAAGTGGTCAGAACTGCTGAATGCCAGCTTCCCGGTCAATCACAGGCAGGTAAGAGATCCCTGAGAAAAGATTTCAGAAGTAACAGAAAATAAGTGTGCACCACGGTCATTGGGGCATGCTTCTGTGTTTCTGGTCATCAACGTGTGTATCTATGTTACTGATGCAAAACAGGGGCGGTGGGGTGGAGGAGCCCTGTTGCCTGGTCATTGTACTCCATGAGACAGTGCTCTGCTGGGGAGATAATAGGCCAAAAATATCTCTGGTTTATTCTGCATTTATTATTCACCAGGTGCTTTTGGAGATGTTACGTCTTGTTACAGAACAAGGCAGGAAAAAAACATGTTAACATTTGGCTTTAGAATTCCTCCTGGAGAGGGAAGTACCTTCCCTTGAGATTCCGTGGGAAAGGATGTTGCCATGTGCCAAGACTTCAGAGGATGAGGCAACTACTTTAGAATATGTTGATTCTGTTCCTGGAAAGGGTGACAAAGCACATGAGGAGAGAGAACGGAGGAGGGAGAGAAGGAAGGAAAGATGGACGGGGCTGGGCTGAGGCAAGGTGAGTGAGCTTTGCTCTGATGTAGACCCTCCTCCAGCTCTAACATCTTCCCTATGTTCTAACGTCCAGGGTGAATGGCTTTCTGTGGCACTAAAAAGGGGCTGAGGGTCACATCCTATCCATATGACACAGAGCAGAGACTGGAAGACAGCAGCCAAGGATGGCAGTGGGTTACACACCCCCTGGCAGTATCCCTCTGAAGTAGCTAATGTCTCAGGGTGATGCTCGTGCAGAAAGGGGAGACATGAGAGGCTCAGCCACGTGCTCCATGCCCCCACTAAGCACGTGGCCAGGATTCCAGCCCAGCACCTGCTCCTAACATGAGTGCTCCCAGCAGACAGGGAACCGGGATCTCGGCCACGTGGGTTAGTGGGGAAGAGGCGGAAGCCAGAACGAAGCCCCTGACCCAGCCCTGGGAAGGCACCTGCAGCGGAATCCCTGAGCCTAGAGGGGATCGGTCCAGGTGAGCATCGTGTCCAATCCCTCACAAGAGGCCAAGGGGCTGGCGTAACGGAAGAACCAGCTGGGTACCAGGTGAGCTCAGTGGGCATCTCCCCTTGTCTCCCTCCTCCTTCCTCTCTCCTCAGGTCTCTCCTACCCTTTCCAGGAGCAGAATGAGCATATTTCTACGCAGCCTCTTCATCCTCCCAGCGTCCCAGCCAAGGCCTCCGAGTGTGGGCTGCAGACACAAGGGAAAGGCCGAGGGAGCTTGGCAAGGTCCTAGGAGACTGGCTGGCTCCCTTGGAGTGGCTCTGGCTCCAGAGACCAGCCTTGGGCGGCTACACTAACAGCAACGCCACCTGCTGGCACACCTGGGGATCTGTGGGCTGGGAGAGGCTGGGAAATCCAGGGGCTGCTGGGGAGCCGCATTGATGTCCCAGGCAGGAAGGGCGCAAACACAAATCTCTCTATGAAATGAAAAAGCTGTGGAGAGACGCCTCAAAACAGTGGAGGAACGACAGGCAAGCACCAGGATATCCCAGCACAAAAGTGCTGAGTTCTTTGCTCAGTTCATCAATTTAAGCAATAGTGCAAAACCACCAGTTCCGTGGTACAATCGGGGCGGGGGAAATGGCTAAGGGTGGACCAGTTGTCAAGTAAATGCAGAAACATTTAAAGGCTCAGTCCCGGGCATCTCTCCTCTCTCCTCTCTCGCAACCCCGTAGCTTTATCATCCACCAATGCCTCCTACATTTACGTCTCCAGCCCAGAGCGCTCTCCCAGCTCCAGACCCCTAGGTCAGCTGCCTGGTGTCATCTTGACTTGGATGTCTGAAGTGGCAGGAGTCCTTGTAACAAGCCCAACGCAGAACGACTTGAGCCGAAAGGTGGAGCTGGGCTATTTGTTGAATGAATGAAAGAGTAAAAAACCATGAAGGCGCTTGTTAGGGGAAGGAGCTGGGGACTAAGTCTCGGTGAGCACGAACCAGCCGCTGAGCGCTTAATTTATCTCATCTAATCCGGGGGGAGAGACTAAAGCCTGGGCTTGGCCAATGGGGCTTTCTTTGCAGCTTACCCGAAGTCACACAGTGAGCCCATGAAAGAGTGGGGCTCAAGGTCCTGGCTGGCTGGTTCTATTGCCTCTAATTCTCATTAAAATAGCAGATGTAGGGCCTACGATTAGACCTAGGGGCTTAAGAGATTTTAGACTCTCCAACTGCACACGCAATAGTTGAATCTCTCTCTTCCCATCCCAGCCTGGTAGCGTTGCAGCTTCCGCCTGAAAACCCCTCGTGATGGCAACTCGTCCTCGAGACAGTGGATGTGGTTTTGCTATTGAATCACAGTAGTAGGTCAGAGGGTTGAGCCAGAAGATGTCCTTCTTTAGGATTAAATAAAGGCGTACACATGCTGTGCCGACCACGGTGCCTGCAGCATCAGTCAACGAGATCTTCCTCCCCACTTCTCTTATTACAACTGTTCTTATGTCTCTCTTCCCCTTGGGACGCCAGAAAACAAATCTAATTCTTCTTCCCTGAGACAGCCCTACAGATATTTGTAGACAGTGCTTCGGGGCCCTCCTGAGGCTTCGCTTAACGCAGGATAAACAAGTACTCCAACCCACCTTCAGACACTCATTGGTAAGCAAGAGCGGATGCTGCTTGCACGGCGATGTTCCAGCTGCTGGGGCGTGTGAGGCGTCAGAAAATCTGATGGAGCAAATGACGAACCCGCCGCAGCAGGGGAACCATGGTATCTGGATCGTGACTTCTGCCTTAAAAAAAAAGAAGGGAAGTGGTTGACCCTGAACAAGCCATGGCCCATCCCCAGAGTTTCATGAGCTACATTCTGGATCTGCCCGCTGTGGGAACCTGTTTTAGAAGAAGAAAAAGAAATGAGCCCCTCCCAGTGTTATTTTACGTTATTTTAGACCCCCAGCCTTGCCAAAAGTCACTATTCCTTCTTCCCAAATACAGTTTGTGTGTTTATGGGTCCAATACTGAGCAGAATAGGGGACCCCATCCACTGTAGCAAGAGGCTATCAAACCTACCCCCAAATCCTCCCTATTTACAGATGGGGAAACTAAGGTCCAGAAGAGAGTGGTAACTGACCCCCAAAGCCATACAGGAAAGTTGTGCAAAATCCCGGTCAGCTCATAAACTCCAAAGAAAGGTGAGAGAGTCATGCAAACCTTCACAGGCAAGGAAGATGAATGGAGCTATTAGATGAAAACAAAAGAGAAGGACTCTGAAAGATCGTCCCTGGAGTGGGTCTCCCTCTCTCGCCCACCAACATCCTATAGCGAGACAAGCACAAGGTTGGAGCTAGAAACTCATGAGTCCGTATGCTGGCTCTGCCACTCGCCAGGTGTGTGAGCTTGGACAGGCCACTTAACCTTTCTGACTCTCAGTTTCCTCATGAATACAATGAGAATAGGAACATATCCTTCGAAGGATTTCTGTGAGTCTTAAATAAAATACATATAGAGACTTTGGGTTCTCAGTGATGGCATAGTTCAGTAATACATGTAAGTATGGCATAGTTCCAGGAGTTCCCACAAATACCAAAATCCACAGATACTGAAGACCCTTCTCTAAAATGGTAGAGTCAGTCCTCTGTATCTGCTGATTTTGCATCCTTGGATCTGGAGTGCCAACTATACAGCCAAAATATATTGCAAAAATAAAGACAAAACTAACACATCTTACAGATGGATGAAAACTGAGAATATTTGCCACAAGTAAAGTTACACTACAAGAAATAGTGAAGAAATGTCTTCAGCCTGAAGAGAATTGATTAGCAAATGGAAATTCAGATCTGCAGGAAAGAATGATGAACTGTGAAAATGGTATATATAAGCACATATGAGAGTAAATATAAAATATGTTTTCTTTCTTTTCCTGACTTCTTTAAAATTCAATGGGCTGCTTAAGGCAAAAAATGGTAACAGTGCGCTATAGTTTGTAACGGATGTGAAAGTAATATATATGACCGTGACAGCATTAAAAATGGGAAGGGGTGTAAATAGAATTCTATGTGAGGAGGTATAATATTAACTCAAGATAGACTGTGGTAAGTTAAGGATGCGTATTGTAAATTCTACAGCAACAGCTAAAATAATAACAATACAAAGAGGTATAAATTAAAAGCCAATAGAGGAGATGGAATGAGCTACTAAAGCAATACTCAATTCACCCAAAAGGAGTTAGGAAAAGTAGAATAAAGGAAGAAATAACAATGGGAACAAATAGCAAACAAACAGCAAGATAGTAGACTTCATCTCAGCCATGTCAAGGGTTACATTAAATATAAGTGGATTAAATCCTCCAATTAAAACACAGAGGTTGTCAGATGGGGTCAAATAGCACACTCAAGTAGGCTGTTTGCCAGAGATGTACCTTCAATATATAAATATTATGGCAGGTTAAAAGGAAAAGGGGGACCAAAAAAATGAGAAGAGTGAGAAAAAATAAACAATAAGCATAAGAAAGCTGGTATATCTATATTACACAAAGTAAACTTTAAGACCAAGATATTGCATGAGATATGAGGGTTATTTCACAATAATAATAGAATGAATTCATCAAGAAGATATGATTCCAAGTGTGTCTGTGCCTACCTATAAGTTTAAAAAATACGTAAAGAAAAAATTGACAGAACTAAAGGGGGAAATAGAGAAATCTATAGTCATAGTTAGAGATTTCAACACTTCTCTCTCAGAAATTGATGAGTAAGTCGACAAAAAAGTCAGTGAGGATATAGATTTGAGCAACATCATCAGACAATCTGACCTGACTGCCTTTTGTAAAACATGATGCTGACAATTACAGATACACATACTGTTCAAGTGCACACAGAGAATTCACCAGGATACAACATATGATGTAACCAGATGACAAAAAATCCTAATAAATTTCAAAAGAACAAAATCATAGACAGTATGTTGTTTGAATAAAGCATAATTAAATAAGAAATCAAAACCAATATGGAAAACAAGAGAGAACACAGGTTACCCATGTCGGGAATGAGAGAGAACACATCACTGTCAAGTTTACAGACATTTGAAAAATGGTAAGAAAATATTATATATGACTTTATGCTAAAAAAATTCAAAAACTTAGATCAGATGGACAAATTCTTTGGAGGGAAAAAGGAACACAATTTAACAAAACTATCACAAGAAGAAATAGAAATCTGAAGGTTTCTAAATCTATTCAGGGAATTGAATTCATAATTTTAAATCTTCACACACAAAAACACCAAGTCCAGATGGCTTCATATTTAAGACAGAAATATGAAGTCTGTCAAACTCAAAAATGAGAGAGAAAGAGGAAACACTTCATAAGTCTTTTTTTAATGGGGGTACCATAACCTTAATAAAAACCTGACAAGGACGTTACAAGAAAAGTAAATTAAATACATGATCCTTTATGAGCGTAGATGCAAAAATCCTCCAAACTGAATACAGCAATGCACAAAGAGGATATAAATAATAAGCAAGTGGGGCTTATCCCAGAAATGCAAGGTGGGTTCTGCACTCGCAGATCGATCAAAATAATTCATATTAATAGAATAAAGGAGAAGAATCATAAGAACATCTCAACAGAAACAGAAAGCACATTTGCCCAAATTCAGTACCTGCTGAAGAGGAAAACTCTCAGCAAACCAAAAACAGGAAAGAACTTCCTCAACCTGATGAGGGCATCTAAGAAAAATATACGCCTAATATTTTTAATGGTGAAATAACCCTTTCTTCCTAAGATCTGGAACGTTTTCCAGCATTATACCAGAGTTTCCAGCCAAACGCAGGGAAGCAAGAAAAAGACATAAAGAGAACAAAAACAGAAAGGGCGAAGTAAAATTCAGCAGTAAAAGGAGTGAACTACTGATACACGCAAGAGCATGAATGAGTCTCAGAAACATTCTGCTGAGAGGAAGAAGCCAGACACAAAGGAGTCCACACTGTACGCTGCTATTTCTATAAAATCCTAGACCAGGCAAAACTAACGTATAAGGACAGAAAGCAGATCAATGATTGCCTGAGGGCTCGGGAGGAGGGAGTGACTGTAAATAGGGGACTTTTAGGGGTTAATGGAAATATTCCGTATCTTGATTAGAGTGACTGTGACAAGGGGGTATATGTTTGTAAAAATTCATTAAACTATACATTAAAATAGATGCATTTTGTTACATGTAAATGATATCTTGATGAGGTTGATTTTTAAAGTAGGAAAAATATATACCATTAAGAAAGTGAAAAAGTAAGCCACACACTACAGGAAACATTAAGAAAATATTTTATATATATATATATATGACAAAGGACTTGTATCTAGAGTCTATGGAGAACCCCTACAACTCAGTAATAAATGTAAAAAATAAAAATAATCAAGTTTTTTTAATAGGCAAAAGGCTGGAAAAGACATGTCACGGAAGGCAATATATGAATGACCAATAAGCACATAAAGTTGCACTCAGCATCATTAGCCATCAGGAAACTGCAAATAGAAGCAATGAGATAGAACTATACACATACAAGAATGTCTACAATTTAAAATATGGCTCAAGATTTGGCAAAAACACAGAGTAAGAAGAACCTCACACACTACCAGTGGGAATGAAAAACAGTACAGCCAGTGGAGACACCACTGTCTGGTTACAGGGTTGTAAGGAGCCCTGCCTTTTGAACCAGCTGCTCTACTCCTGGCGACTGACTCAAGAGAAAATAAAAATACACCTCCACAAGATGACTTATTGTAAATGTTAATAAGGGCTTTTCATCATTACCAAAAACTGGAAACAATCCCAGTGCCCATCACAGGGTGAATGGATAAACAGATTGCAGTGTATTCCTACACTGGAAAACTATTCAGCAATAAAAAGGAATGAACTGATGCATGCAACCATGTTGATAACCCACTCCCCAAAAAAATCACATTAAGCCAAAGGAACCAGACACAAAAGAGTACATAGTGTTAGTTTTCATTTATATTGAGTTTGAGAACAGGCCAAGCCAACCTAGAGTTAGAGAATCCGTAACGGGGTTTGCCTGAGCAGGCAGGGGGCTGGTTGGAAGGAACTTTCTGGGGTGATTAAAAATGTCCTGAATCCTGATTTATGTGGTGGTTACAAAGGCATATACATTTTTCAGAATTTGTTGAACTGTATACTGAAAATGTGTGCATTTTATTATTTTTTTATCCTTCGATTTTTAAAAGTTAAGTATTAAAGACTTAGCTCAGGGCTTAACACATAGTAAATGCTCAACAACCATTCATTTTCCTCATCCTTGGCCCTCCCATCCCCAGCAGGCATGCGCTATAGGTATTAGAACATTTTAAGTCATTGGACCTCTGAGAATGAGTGACATTTTCCCCCAAAGGAGTTTGCCCACTGCATGACACTGGAGGACGCTCTAGTCAGAGCCAAGGATCATAAATAACACTGAGGGTGCCTAACACGTTCTCATCCTGAACCCTCCTCCAGGTTTGGTCCTCCTGGTCTAGGTGTGGGGGCCCAATGTCCCAAGCCAAGAGGGTAGAATTTAGGCCACCCCAAGAGATGAAAGCTGACAAATCACAGAAGTGGGGAGACGCGGCACGTGTAAGAGACTTTGAGAAGATCAATACTTACGGGAAAGTTAGAAAAGATAAAATAGGGAAACCAGCTATGGGAGATCAGCGGAGTTTAGATTGTCCTGCAGTGAAAGCTCAATACTTGTTTGTTGATTGAATAAGTGACTGAATGAGCCATTGGGTCTGTCAAGGCTGAATCTTCCAGGTTGACTGCTGCACCCCCATTCCTGTCTTGCAGCTCACATACCTGCCCCCGCCGTGGGGCGAGTGCCGGTCCTCGGAGATGGGACTGGACTTCTTTCCTGTTTACAGCATCACCGCCTGTAGGATTGACTGTGAGACCCGCTACATCGTGGAGAACTGTAATTGCCGCATGGTCCACATGCCAGGTCAGTGCCTGGGGAGGGCGGCCACGGGCCCTGGGGCTGCCCGGGACCCTCTGTGCCTTTCTCACCCTGATGGGAAGCTCCTCACCCACTCCACGAGGATGCACAGGGATGCTGTTCTAGGAAGACTGTTGTCTGATGCCCAGACATTTAGAGGGCAGATGGAAACAGCCAGTCCGATGACCAAGGCAGCAGCCTGCTGTCCAGAAGTGGTCAGATGTTCTGAGAACGTTCCTCCCAGCGTTCAATACTTTTGCTAATTGTTTGCTTTCCTTCCCTCCTAGACGTTAGTGTCCAGATATCTGGATGCTTACAATTCTTTGCATCCTGGCGTGGTATACACTCAAACATCCAGATGTTTATTGCTTTCATCCAGATGTTTTCCTTCTTGCATCCAAATGTCTAGCACTCTTTCAAGTGAGACAAAAGTCCATCAGCCAGCAAATGAATGTGTGTGGATTGACATTCCTGTTGTCAGACTAACAATGCATGTCACCATCATTAGAGGCAGTCGGCTTGTCACAGACAGAAGTGGAGTGGAGGGAGGGCTGACTGGTATTGCAGCGTGGAAGGAAGGATGACTGAGGCTGGCGTCAGTGACCTTGGCTTCTCAGATTCCTCCACTTAACTGCTGTGTGGCCTGGCACAACTTACTCAACGTCTCTGTTCTTACTGCAATTATATTTGAAACACAGTCACTAGTTGTTATGAGGTTAAAATTAGGCTCAAATGTAAAAATGCTTTGTCAACTGCAAAAGTCAATTGGGGAGAGGAAATTGAGAGTACTGTTGGCTGAGGACCTACTATGTGCCAAGAACTTTGCTATTATATGTAATGGCTACTATTTCATGGTTATATCATACTTTATTTAGGTTTATTTAACTAAATCCTGATATCAGACATGCAGTTCATTACTAGTTGTTTTCTGTTACAACCAATGCTGAAATGGACATCTTTAGAGCTAAATTCTGAATTATTTCATTAGTAATCAGTAATTCCTTTAGTAATCTATATTTAGAGTTATTGATCTTTAAAATTGCCTCTGATCAATAAAAAATGTTAAAAAAATTTTTTTAATTGCCTCTGAGCTTCCTAGAAGACAGAGCAAAAAGGGAAATATATCAGTTATTATAGGAAAGGAGGAAACATCAGTTTTTCAGCTCTTAAAAAAAGGTGTTTAGGGAAAGGGTAAGGAAGGGACATTGTGGTGGGCTTTAATTTTAGCACTTGGTAAAAGAGAAAAATGTTTCTAGATTTCTACAGAGACCAGAGAATACTGAGCACTGGGACATGCTTCCAGGCGGACGCCCAGACTGGGTCACCAGCCAGTGAGGTTTCCCCCATGGAACCTGAGCCCTAAGCCAACAGCAGAGATTTTAATCATTCCCCCAATGACACTGTTACTGGCATCTCCATTATAATGTGGCGTTAAGGACACAGCAAAGAGGAGACTTTCAAAGCAGCCCTTGCTCCCCCATGGTAGTGTGGCGTGGTGGGAAGAGCCCTCGCCTCAGGATCAGACTGACGCTGGGTTCAAAGCTTACCTCCATCACTGCTAACTCTGGTGTCCCAGGAAGGCAGGACACTCAAGCCTCCGTCACTCATGAGTATTTCCTATTTCCAAAGGTACCCATGTGGGTTAAAGGGCAGGACACATGCCCAGGGCTTAGGAAGTGCTTACCACTGCCTCTCCCCCTT